TAATCGGTTACACACCTACATGATCTGGCAGTATAAGTGGACTCCTTACGAACCCTATGAAGCAGCCTTCGTATCGAAGTACCATGTAAATAATGGAGGATTGAAATTATTTTCTATTTTATTGCATAGTGACCTAAATTGAATCTACCTTTTAAAACAGCTGCACGTGAGAAGGCCGATAAAATTAAGGCGGCACTATATTTACTGCTGCTTGCGAAATCTAAAAATAAATGCGGGTAAAATTTCTCAGCAGACCTGTGCTGGATCTGTTACGCAAATCTGCTCGCTACCTATCATCTTCCTGGTGCTTAATATTGGAGCTGAATAATTCGGCTAATTGCAGGCACTGGCGTTGCACTCTAAACGTTTGTCTTCATACTCAAAAATTTAATCTGATCGGCATAAATGTACATTATTATTAAGTAAAGACATTAATTAATTCCTACCGATTGTTTATTAATATTTCATATATATGTATGTATCATTTTTTCACTTGAAATTGTATAACCAAATCATATTCTAGTCATCGCAAAACGATAAAATGTAGTCGCATTTATTTTTTACACTTTAAATTTGTTCAAAAACAAAAAAGAAAAAATAAAAAGGAGCACAAGAAAAACTGCGTTCAGAAGTAACTGTAGGGCTCAAAAGTTGCTTACAGTATCCTCGTGCTTTCCATAGAACCTATTCAACCTAATTCGTGTCTGAAAGCTAAGTTGAACAGAACTTCCGGCACTCTTGAATATAAATCATTGTAACACTTGTTCATGAGGTTTGTGTTCGTTTTCTACATACAAGAGAAAGAACAGGCGTAAGTTGCTTTCATAAGATAAACTCTATGCACTGAAGAACACAACGCAGTTATTTCTATGGCCATCTTTTCCGTACTAAGAATCTGTATAGCGGTTTCGTCGACTCAAGTCCTCACTTTGGTTTCGTTCGTTGTACTTCGCTGCTTGTTTCCGCCGCGTTTATGACCTTTGTAACGTCCTGCGACGGCAGTGGCCTTTCGGCGCGTTGCTTCACGGGCTCGTCCACTAACTCACTCTGTTTTCTGCTTCTTTTTTTTGGTTAGATGGCATAATGAGACGCTTCTTTAATCGGTCCTTTTTTCTCGTTGTGTGGCTTTTTAAAACGTTCTGAGGAGCATTTCTCCGATGGTGTCCTCTATGGGCCTAGAGAAAACGATGCCACCGCAATGGTCCGCGGTTTTTGACCATAACTGAGTGAAATCCTTTTTCGCTGCACTTTGATTCCCCGCCGATATTGTACGAACTGACTAAGTGATTGAGCTTATGCCGACAGCGAGCTAACGAAAAAGGGGTTATTATTTGTTTTTTACGTTTCAACTTTGTTAACATTAATTTCTAAACACGACGCCAGTTTTTAAACAAACCCGTTAGTAGTCCCGTATCTCCTAAAAAAATTCGTTGATCACTTCTACAAGTGGAAGCGTCTAAACCTAGGTCGCCGAGTCATTACGAGCCGATTACCTTGTACGTGCCCATAGACGAAAAAAATTTCGACGAAAAATAATGTGGCCGAATATCACGCTAGTCCACTGGTTTTAATTTATATATATATATATATATATATAAACATTTAGTAATTTTTTTTAGGCATTTAGCATTTTTGAGAACTGTTTCACATAGACGCACCGGAGCGTCGATTAATGCGCAAATATTGTTTCAAAGTATCTAAAGGGCTTTATTGCTCGAAGCGATCAGCGAAGTACTACTATTAGAACCAGTGACCGTTCCTCCATTTTTGAGAGGTTAGACTTTACAAAAACGATCAAACAACAAGTATCGTGAAGCCTGCTAAAAAAAAGGCTGGTCTAAAATGGCCGAATATCAATTTACATTGGTAGAAGAGCTAGGAACAGAAGTACCATTAATAAAAACTCCTATAATTTACTAATTTTCATCAATTCCATGAGATCGTCTTTAAGTTTGCAGAATACTGTTTTCCTAATAGTATAGACTAGCTTATTTAGAAAACACGCTACCGACTATAGCGTGTTAGAAGCAAGATAATTCGTCTATCGCTTACATTTGATTCTAGAAGCTGCTTGGTCAAGTACGCTTTAAACGCTACTCAATTAGAAGTACTACTATTTCGTTGTCGTCATTGTAGTACGCTCACATCATAATGCCGCCTATGTTGTTTCGTCGTTTAAGGAGTGACGAAATTAAATGAGGCACCGGTTTACTCGGTGGTAATAAGGGTAATTTCTACGCTTACGCTAAATGTTTTTATCTTCGCGATGCCCGACCCTTCAGTCGTAGCTGACTCGGTGACCCTAAATGTCTATAGCGATACGCCATTTTAAATTTATTCCGGCAACGTTAATATAGCTATGATACGATAGATTAATCAATTTCATTTTATTGTGGTGTTCCATATATACGTCGATGGGACTTATTTAAAACCTTGGTAATAAGCTTCTTCTGTCTTACGACAGAGGATTCAGACTGCACCGACATCAATTATAGTTCCCTGAACGTTGTCTGCTATACACTAATAAACAATGGCCAGTAATAAAATGGGAGACACGGCTTAGTTTACATACATATGTTGGTACAAGCTACGCCACATACGACAATCTCATTATGATGAATAACGCCCACACAGCAGACGCCTTCCTACTAATCCAGCAACTTAATTAACATCACAATAAAAATTATCTGTATCGTTCGTCACGTCATATTTTGATGTATATTTTCGCCCATGACCGTTTGACCGCATTTTCTATCTAACTGTGCGCGCCAGAGAATAACCAGCAGTCCTGTAAAGAAGCTAAAGTTGGAGCTCAATAGACACTGATATCTGTAGAATAGAAGTTACGTAAGTGCAACTAGAACACGATCAAACGCTTTGGCAACTTTATAATACTGAAAACAACAACGTACATTATTAAACCTATCCAGTCAACCTATAAAACAACTGAAGAAACAATCGAGCATCACAAGTAAGAGACCCGTCGGCGTAATGTTGCTCTCTGTTTTAAAACTGGGCAAATATGATATTAGCTAGGGCCTCTTATTTGTAAAGAATTTAAGTTGAATTTGCGGTCTTTCGTAAATTGAACAAGCTTTAGAACTACTTTACGTAACAATCTCGGTAATCGGGCACGATTCGACCACACTTTAGAGGAGCGCCATTTCATCGAGAGTATTCTGTGGTCGAGTTAGATTAATAACAAGTGCCGTATTACGGTTAGCCGTTCTGGAATGATTAGGAACGACGCGGTTCTTGGGAAGCCAATAGAAGTGCTCTTGTGTTTGTTCCATGTAGGCATCTTCATATATACCGCAAAGGTACAGGTACACACAAGACGATAGAATTATGCGGATTTGTGCCTCGTTCAGTATATGCCAAAAGAAATTTAACTTCATTGGTCGAAATTCGTTAGCGGGCTTTTGCGGTTCATACAGTTCGACTTCCCGAAAAAAATCACATTGAATACAAATCTATAGAACACCTCAAATACAATTGATTAGATAGTTTATAAACAGGTTAAGAACACCGAACGACTGAATTCTGTTATATTAAAAAAAAAAAATGATAAAATTTCGCAAAATAATGTTGTCTCATTCATTCCTGAAGTTGGGGCTAATCTTATCTGTTGATAAGTATCATTCTCTTCGATGCCACGAATTTTTCTATATCTCATACGGAGACTAGGAATCATAAACTATGCCAGAATATATTTAATTTTTGTTTTACGTCGAAATGAACAAACTAAATTTTTTGGAAAATCTTGCGTAAACAGTACAATCAACAAGGCTCTGTGGAATCCGTGAACAGTTTCGCCGACTATTTCTGTCTAAAATTTATCCAAGACGGAATTAGCAATTATTTTTTGTTCAAAGATGTTTTCGGTTAATCTCGAATTGGCAATTTTTTTCTGCAACAAGTGCCGGGATATTTTTATGCTTTAACCTTATAGGTTTTCCGTAGGAGTTGCGGAAGATGTTTGTGTGCACGCGTGCGCGCGTGCACCTCGTATTTACTCTATAGTAGACGGATTGAGTGTTGAGTTGGAGACAGTATTCCTCAGATGCATTATGACGTGGTCACGTTACGTGTCCTGTACATTGCTGGGAATTCCGATCTTAAGGTCAGGTAAATTAGCTAGGGCGTAAGTAAGACCGAATTTAGCTTGACTTCGTTCGTTCGATCAGACGGCTGGGGCAAGACATCTAAATTATACGACGTTGTCAATGATGTTATACTGGCTGTTGAGATTCATCTTCCAGTAAAGGTGGAAAAAGTTGTGCGAAATACTAAAATAAGCATAATGTTAAATGGCTTCTTTGATGCTGTTAGCCATATCATTATTAATACTTACTCGCAATTAGAAGCCACATACTATCAAAAATGTATTTTGTTGTTATCATCCAGTATCTCATAAAGCAGCATGGCACATGGGGCCGCCATTATCTGAACGGATGGTAGCGCGTGAACGCGCTGCGGACGGCAGCAAGACCGTTGTAAGTGTGACGGCTCGAACTGTACTGATTCCCTTATTCTCTTCGTGATTCTCTGCGCGATTTAATTTCCTAGAACGCGAAAGATCGTAGCTATTACTCCAATTACTACTTCTGCTACCAGCATTAAATTCGAGTGGATAAAGGTACTACTTACTATTCGGTATTGCCGGTTGCGGTTCTAATCATGAAGAAGCTGTAGTGTACACAGCAGCAATCAGCCAGCGCCAGCGCCGCCGCCGCCGCTGCCGCCGCCGCCGCCGCTACTTCTGTTGCTTCTGCCATAGTCGCGCCGAGGTGGCCCTCGTCGTTCTAGCGATCGTAGCAACGACGGCAGCGGCGGCCGCCGCCGCCGCAGTAGCAGCGATTCGGGACTGGGTTGAGGATCCCTCTCCCCACTCTGGGTGCCTACCCTCTCCGAGCTGCGTCGTTCGTCGAACAGCGGTCACTCATAATGTGCTCAGTAGTAATCCATTCAGCTTTTGGGGTGCTTGTAACGCTCGGCCCTCGAATTCTGAACTTCACCCGCGCTGTCAGCTATGCGTGCGCGACTGTCAAATATTACGTTGTCCAAACTTTGCCAAATGTTGCCTTAACGGCAAAGTAATTAGTTTCCTCTTTCCGATTGTTGATCCGTAACCACTGCAGGTAAAGAATAAAACGTCTCAAAAGAGCCAAGATCTGTTCTTGGAGTTCGCAATTGCCGGTCAGCTTCACCTGTGCATACTCTAATCCATTTGAAATTCGACAGCGTTGAAACAATAGGAAGTCGTGTAGTAATGGCTGCGATTGACGCTGAGACGAAGTGAAAGAGTATGGCCAAATGGTCATGTTTAGCGTATGGATGATGTGGTAACAACGCGCACCGTGTTGTCCCAAGTTACCAGAAACACAACTTGTATTTTAGTGTTACCAGTGCGTAATTCGTTCTCGACACCCAATCCTCGTGGGGAATTCGTGTGGCAGCTCTGTATGGTTAGAGAGACAGGAGTAGAATTTTTCGAGTGTTCAACGTTGCCAATTGTGTTGAATTCGCAGAACTGTCTACCGGTAACTTATGGTGAACTTCAACGTATTCATTCAGTTACAATTGGCTTGTGCGAAGTGTGCGAGGTGGACACAGTGAACAAAGGGGGAGTGAGGTCGAGTGACGCGCTCATATGGATACGATGATTATTTCCACGTGTTCTAGACCGCGACAGAAATGATGATAATGCTGGCGATGTGAGGCACTTGTGGTACGTGTAAGGAGTAGGTCTTCAGTTGTGTTAAAACGTTAATACTTAAAAACAACAGATAAGAATTGAGGAAGTGTCTTCTTGTGAACGTTTACAACGGATTTGTGACCCAACACAGCTTCTCCCGTGACCATGGGAGATGTTGTAGTATGGCTAGTGATATGGGTGGCCACACTGATGGCTTCGCCAAGGACTACAGCAGGGGCAAATTCGAAGGAAATGACTTCGTGGTTTGAAGTTCAAATCCGAGATCTACAACATCAACACCCAACATTGGCCAATGGATCCTGTTGTGAAGGTAAGCAATTTTGCTTGCATGGCGTATCCCAGATCACAATCCCGAGTTGCGTCTAGTTTACGTATGATCACTTTTCGATAAGTAAGTAGGCAGGCAAAGTGTGGCCTTAGCGTTCATACTAGCTATCATACTTTACACGTCTGTGAAACCGTTTATGCAAACAGTTAAAGCACTTCTATTCGATTTGTCCACTCTGAATGTGTTGATAGTGCGTCCGTGAGAAACTTGTGGCCGGGCTAGCCATCGTCGGCCTGGCCCCCGATTCACGGGAGCATTACATTACCAGCTGATGTTTCACTATCGATACAGATTGTCCGCAAAGGATCTAATTAAGAAAAAAGGTATAGGCAAATCGTTTTACGCAAAATTAGGAAGTACTTGATGCCGTGTTAGAAGCTATCTATAACCCATTCAAGCAACGACGTCTGCTTTGTTCCAGGCCGGCCGACTGAAAATGGCCTACGATGTCCCACGGACTCGTTTTGTAACACCTACTTCCGACTCTGCCTTAAGGAATATCAACGACTCGCACGGGTCGAATATCGTGAGTATTTTTTTCATTTAGAATTAGCACTCTGTTATTGCAAATTGTTGTAATCACTGTGCAGCACTTCATATAGTTCAGTCAACAGAATCCTAGCCAGTTGTCGTTGTAAGTTATGTAAACATGCCTATCGATATGATCCTCTCTCTTGCCCCCATATATGTGTATATACTGTGATGTTCTTTTTTCCTTTCCGTGTTACGCTGGCATATGAAATTCAACTAGGGTTCGTCTTACAGTGACAAATCAGTTTCCCCTCATAGAGACGGGCCGCTGCAATGGAATACGAGTTGTGAGTGTAGTTATCTGTACCGGCTCTACTAGTGTAATGCATCATTTGCCTGTGGAAAGTGCTGGCTAAAGAGTAACTCGCGTCCTTTCGAAGATCGCCGCATCGACGCCAAACGCGACAAATGTTATATCGATGTCGGTAAAGAAGCTTCCCGCTTCTGCCGCTTCCAGGCGCGTTCATATATATTGATAAAATGTCTGTCAAACGCATGCTTGATTGTCATATAAAGTGCAATTATTGAAAAAAACCTAAAGTAGTTTATTTCATATGCAGCATACGATAGCTTACGTCAAGCGTCATATTTGAAAATGCCTATGACGATAGCTAGCTCGTTTATCAAATTGGATTAAGTTTCATTCCAGTGCTTTTAAGAGGCAAGGTCTGGTGTCGGTGCGACATACAGATAGACATGGCATCAATATAAAAATGAAGATAACGGCTAGAAACGCGATACGGCAAACATCAAATTGTCATGGCATTTCCAATATGCTACTATTGGCTGATAGTGCAATGTTGGAGTAGCGATCCGCTAGACCACGAGTCGCTTGCCGCTATATTCGAAGTAAGGAAATTTCAATATTCGATATTCAGCAAATCAGCGCGAGCATGTATCGAAGTGACGAAAATCGTCTGCTCGATTGTTATCGATGCTTGTGTTGTTCACATCCCTAGCAGAAATGCTTGAAAACGCACAAGCTCAGCTTCATCCTTTGCTGAGTGTTTCCTTCGCATTGACGAAAAACGTGCACGCTGTTTGGCGCGTTAGGTTATGCGAGTGAAGCTGATTGACTGTACTAAATAACACCGATCAATAGATTCGCTCTGAACTTTCAAGCGCCCAAAGCCAATGCGTAGGGTTAGAAGTAAATCTTAAATAAGCTTAAAAATAAATACGAAGCCAGTCTTATACTTGAGTTGTCCCGGTTTACATTTCCGTATGGTATATGTAGGTGGCCAATCCTAGTTTTATTTGTATATTTGCATAAAAATGTTACAGTTAGCGGTACCGGCGAGCGATTGGTAGGCTGAAGCGTGAAGCTTAGTCTTGATATTAGCTTTACTAAGCGATCTGCATATATTCTATCGGATAAATCCTGATTACATCAGCTCACAGTGGCCGGTCACTTTTTTCGGGGATGGCTGGGTCACTGTTCGCTTGACCACCATCACCTACGAATGAGTAGCTGCCGTGGTTTGAGCTCTTTTTTCTGCAGTAGACGTGAATAAATTATAAATAATTTATCTTATATAAAAAGCGAAAAAAAAAAACGATATCAACAAATTTATCTGATTTGAATGTAAATCTACCGCTCATTGTAAATCTAGCGCAATAAGTACGACCCTCGGTTAACCGGCGAAACATTTCTTATTGCTCTTGTGTATTACTATATTTTCTACGGCGGTATGAATACTGGCATAATCGGTATACGATAAAAATGGATCAAACTTTTAGTTTTTTTCTATTCAGGTTATCTTAAATTTGTTAGGATTTTGCCACTAAAAAGGAGTTATATGTCTGCTTGAACTAGGGCGAAAAATGGGAAAATAGTACGGGTTCAATTATTATCATGTTTACGATGATTTGTAAAAAGTCAAAACAACAGCGGTAATTTTTATGAAATGTTTCTGGAAGCTGCTTGCCCAATTCGTATCTATCTGTATTACAGTGTCAAATATGGCTATTAAGGTAAGTGAGTGTTGTTATGTCAATATACGATACTAATATCCGACGGTAATCTGATTTACAGGCAATTGCACACTTGGAGAAAATATTTCGCATGTTGTAGCGGACTTCGGAGGGAAACAAAATCAGCACGATTTTGAAGTCATCCTCAGAATCCCGATATATCATCGGTGGACGGTACGTTATGAATGAACGATACATGGAACATATTAATCATATCTTCGATCCTTCATTTTGGGGCCCCCGAATGGAGGCTAAAATACTCGAATGCTGTTTTAATTTTTTCCTACTGGGAATGTTCAGCCCCGCTGCGTTTTAGATTCGGGTTCGCCGAAGCACATCTGGGTCGGCAATTCCGTTTACTGTATGAAATTCATGCCCACTTAGAAAGCAGACGTGGGAGTACTTAGAAACTTAATCGAGTAACGAAAGTCGTCCTGTGAATAATGATCCTCTTCCAAACGAATCACACATTGTCACACTCGTTTACGAGCGCGATAGAGTGTATATATATATATATATCAAAGACTTAGTTTGACTGGTATCGGCGCCGTTCATAGCAATACAAACAACAACAGGCCCTTCGTCTAATGCAAATATATCATGATAGCATGATTTTACCATACCCATCTACTTGACGGCTTGATGCGGCCCCCGTAACGGACGCTCCTTTCGATTGTCCAACGCAAAGCGACAATGAAAGAGAAAAAGAGAGAGATGTTTCATCTGAAATGTGTTTGAAAATCTAATGTCGATAATTGTTTTATGATACGGCACAATGTTGTGTGTGCATATTTGTGCCTATGTCTGTATTCATTAGTGACGGTCATAACGAATAGTTGATGATTCACACAGGCGGCATACTTATATCGGCCATTTTTGCTTAAATTTATATTATTTCTAAACAGAAGTACTCCATTTAAGATTAATGATTCTTTCTTTTCCGAGTCATTTTACCAAATAATTCTGTAGGTGATGATGTTTATAAATGAATGTATAGTTGTCAACTACTAGGCAGTTAGTAAAGTTAGCCTGTCGCATAGTCGGCAGGCGCTCTGACCATTGGTTTCCATGCCTCCGCCATCGGGTTTAAAGCAACCAGCGTCATAACAGTGTTACTAGAAAATATAATAACGCCGGCGGTAACGACAACGGCAACATGAGTGACAAAACGTAAAGTTCTCATCCAAAAGACGTTAACAATTAGAATGGCATCCTAAAATTTTATACAGTCGTCGTTGCTGGTCCCATTGGTGTCTTGGTGACCACGTTTGGTTCTCACGCCTCGAGCAAAGCAGTCGGCTGACACTTTATGGCCATTTTTTATCGAGCTACTGAAACAACATCACCGGCGTCGCCGTATGTAGTTGCCGCGCCGCCGTCAAACTCTCCATGACCAGTCCCATTCTTATCGAATCGTCATAGGAAAGCCCGCTTCTCGGAGGGAGTGGAGGCCGACTGGCTGACTGAGTTGGGGTACAAGTATGCGGTAGCGAGAAGGACAAACCGTCAGACCAGAACGGACCCTCCTTAGCTCGTACTTACAATGGTATTGGTCATGGTGAATACGTAGGCAGACAGACATGTTACTGGTGACATCATGTCGGCCGCTGTATAGAGAGATTTACTACGGCAACGACGACAACACTGTTAATATTGCGCTAATGATTACGTGAGTGGTGGCAAAAGCATGCTTCGCACTACTGATTATGATAATAGATTATTTCGTCCAAAATAACGAGTGCTTGTCCTATAAAATTGATTCAACGTTTACTTTTCAATTGTGGAAAGTCAAAAAGATATCCTAGGCCCTCACTATATCGCTCATGAACAAACGATGCGTTTGATCCACTCTCATCAGCAACACGTACGAAATACTAACGGCGTCACAATGTAAACATTCACAGAATCGTACTGCTCACTTCGAGGATACATTTTGAAAAATAGCTTTTAAAAATCATTTGTCATGGCTAAAATTATGTTGCTTTTGTCGATTCATTTCTTCGACCCCTAAGCCATATGTGATGGCTGCCTCGAATTTCTATATCAATGCTGTACTCTATCTGCGATACCTCTATCTGAGAATAGGTTTCCTTCAGGCCTGCACTGGCGTCCTTTAGTAAAATCGTCAAGCTTTCGAGTGGTATTTCGTATAATTACAATACTTTTGTCTAGCTTAAGTAAGAATAGTGAGAGCTAAGAACTTACGTTACATGATGGAAGAAAGTATAGGAACTTAGATCTTCGTTTGTGTGACTAATTAAACCTACGCATCGACTATTTGATTGTATATCTTATCGCTAGACAAAGTAAATAGCTCAAGAGAGTTGTAGTTAAATAAATTATATGCTACTTTAGTTCATTCGTGGGAAAAGTTTATCATCTATGAGCTTGCATAGCAATGGCCTATCTGCAGGTTCGTTTTGACACCTCATATATCTTTAACATCTTGGCCCGCACAGTAGAGTCGATCTACGATCAAAAAAAAACGTCATTCTACAAAAAGATGTCGATTTGATGAGCTTGTCTAAAATTATTGGGAATAATGGCTGCGGTTGCTCTTGGTAAAGCCAATTGTTTCCGCGTTCGCTACGATCAAAACTAATAGCTATGCTCAACAGTTTTTTTTTTATCTCTCTTTCGACTCGCGCGTGCAATGGTTTCCCAAACCCTAATAGATATGTATCTGTTCGTACAGCGGCTTTGTATCATACAATCGTAGTGTAAATGTCATGCTGTGTGTTTACCCGAAGAGGAACAGGAAAGGAAGAAGTACCGAGGCCGTCGATTGAGTGAACTGTTCGCAGCCGGTGGCAGGCGCTTCTCGCTCACTTACGATCACGCTCCGCTCGGATCTAGGTGGCCGTCCGCCGAAGGGCTGTTCAGGAACCAGCCAGGCCCGGTTTGGCCTAGCAGCGAACTGTTATTAAATAATGCTAAGTGAACAAACGAGTTCCTTCGCGAGTCTAACGCGACGACACAAGGGTTGAGTTGTGCCGAGTTCGTAATTATGTGTGCTGGGTGCCAGAGTTGTACGCTGTTGAGTTTTAAGCGCTGAACGACGTGACCACTTCAACCATAAGGGCAATACAACAACGACAACAGGAGCAGCAGCGGCAGCATCGAAACGAGCACCGACAAAGCTTCCCCTGGGCAAAATCGTCGGTGAACTCAACTGCCCAAGCTTTGTCCATCGCCCTCTGTCTGCGGAGTCCGAGAATAAGAATCTATCTTTCCTTCTGATATTGTGATGATGATTATTGTTATTATTAATATGGAGTTGTTTTCTGTTGATACAAGACACGAAAACAGCAAGGGTGAGCGTCCGTCACGTCGATACACCGATTCCCGCAGTGATTACAGACCAAACCGAGTTTCCTTTTAAGCTTTTGACGAAAGAGCACGGAACCTCTGACAACGGAATCAACAGTAGCTACTGCTGCTATAGCAGCTGGGGCAATAACAACGATAGGAACGCGGCGGGGCTGAAAGTTTATGAAGTGTTTCTTCTTCGGTTTCTTTCTTTTTTTTTTAGAAGGTACAAAAGATCCTCTTTGATTAGATGAGTAATTTGCCGACCGGCTGCCAACATCTAGGCAATGCCCCTTATTGCGTGCTACTGTTTAGAGCATAGTTCAGCCCTATGTTTAGTCCACGTCAGGAGATAATATCAGCAACATACGATTTGCCTCTAAGAACAACGTTGTATCACACACAGTAGCGTAATCGTAGTGAAAGCGTTCACTGTATTCAGGATGCATATGGGCATCTTGCAGAAACGCCTTTCGACGCTACGTTTCGTGGTTTTTTTTTTCTAGGAAATGAATAACGTAAACTATTCAAGGAAAAAGAGTTGGACCCAGACATTGAAGCGTGAAATACAGGAATCAAAAGGAGCGGTGATGGATATATGCAGACGCTTCTATCCGATAGGCGATACCCATAAGCGCATAACAGTGTAGAAATTACCATAGGATAACTCAGTTCTAATCACGAAGCGAACTCAGGTACGACTAATGAACAATTCGTGCATCCCTGCCAAATCCTATTTGATGGAGTTGTGAAATTTAGTAGGGTAAAGGGAATTGGATATTTCAATAGAAGACTTGCTAAGTCAGACATACTACTACCGCTCGATAACGATAAACTGCTTTAAAAAAAAATTAGCCATTGCTTCAGTGGAAAGTTACTTCAAGCAGTCACAATTAGAAAACGTATTGATGAAGAGGAACTATTAGTTTCACGATTTACCCTACCCATGATGGACTACATGATATCGATGATCTCCTGCTGCTTTAATCTAACGTCGATTTTACGGGTTTTTTTCTGACGGCTTCGCGCATACCAACACGACATATTGTGTATCTTTCTGTCGGAGTCGTCGTTGTTACTATTGTTGTTGTCGCTACCTTCATGACGCGTTGTTGTTGCTTCATTGTTTCTGGTGAAGAGCGTGTACCGTGCGCAGCAATTACCGCAGATACTACTGTTCCTACGACTGCGATGATGATATGTAGCAACGACTCTCGCTATTGCGCCTTTTCGGGTTGACGGACGTTTCAGCCTCGTTGTTTTCTTCCCTCGCTCTTTTCGGTAAACGTTGCTCCTGTCTCCAAGTGGCCGCTGTTGGCCCTCGTTTAGTAAACGATTCCAGCGCGATGCGCGGTAACTGTAAAATCGGGTCGGAAGATTTTCTTAGATTGACAAACAGCGAAAAGTTGTCTCTTGGGTGCTATCTGAGTCGTGACTCTCGCCGTAAAGATTTTCACTTTGAGTTTTTCTTACTGGCCATTTTTTTTTCTAGCCTTCGTCGTATCTTACCACTTGCTTTTACTGTTGCTATATCATCGACCATTTCAACTTACTACCTCTGGACGCTTACCACGTGCGCACCTTGTACAAGCGTTCGTTCTTATATATATATATATATGTGTGTGATGGATGTCAACTTGCGTTGTTCGCATAATTAAATCAAAGAAACCGTTGCCTCCAGACAACTGCCGATCTGTTCCATGCTAAGCTGTCTTTTCGGGAATGCTAAGCATTCCCGAAGAGGCTGGCGACTTCAGCAAAAGCCTTAGAAGGGCTACTGCCGTTGCTTAGCCAGGACTACTCGGCTATTCAATGATTTCTATTCGTTTGCGAATGTATTGCCTAGCCCATGATGGGCCGACCCG